CAGGTGGCTGCGTCTGGTCAGCTCGCTGCGTCCTGCTCATGTCGCCTCCTCACCCACCCTGCTCAGCTTTGGCACCACCGTCTTGGTCACCCTTCACAGCTGCGTCTGCGCAGCATGCACTCCCGGCTCCTGGTCTCTGGCCTCCCTACGACCCTGCCCCCCCTCCCGCGCTCGCTTGCACCGCCGTGCCTTCCTTGTGTCGAGGGGCGGCAGCGCGCTGCTCCTCACTCCTCCGAGTTTCCTCCGACCATTGCTCCTCTGCAGACTCTCCACCTGGACGTGTGGGGCCTGACCCCCATCGGTGGAACGGACCAGGAGCGCTACTTCCTGCTGGTTGTTGATGACTACACACGCTACACCACCGTCTTCCCCTTGCGGCGCAAGGAGGATGTCAGTGGTGTTATGATCCCCTGGATCCGTGCTACTCGTCACCAGCTGCGCGAGCGGTTTCGGCGGGACTTTCCAGTCCTGCGTCTGCACTCTGACAGGGGCGGTGAGTTCTCCTCTGGCGTCCATGAGACGTTCTGCCAAGATGAGGGCATTGCCCAGTCGTTCACGCTTCCGACCTCTCCGCAGCAAAATGGGATAGCTGAGCGTCGCATTGGCCTGATCATGGAGGTTGCTCGTACCTCCATGATCCATGCGGCTGCTCCCCATTTCCTGTGGCCGTTTGCGTTCCGATACGCCGCGCATCAACTCAACCTCTGGCCCCGTGTCTCTGCTCCAGAGACCTCGCCCACACTCCGTTGGACGAGACAGCCTGGTGATGCGTCGTCGTTTCGGGTCTGGGGCGCGCTCTCCCTTGTTCGCGATACCAAAGCGAGCAAGCTCTCTCCTCGCACTCTCCGCTGTGTCTTCCTGGGCTTCCCCACCGACGCTCCACCCTGGCAGTTCTACCACCCTGCCTCGCGTCGTGTCCTGTCCTCTCAGGACGTCACCTTTGACGAGTCGGTCTGTTACTACCGACTTCACCCGCACGCGTCCCACCCGGTCCTTCTCGCACCTCTCTTCCTGGTAACAGTCCCCCCCCCGGTAGACCCCCTTCCCCCACAGGGTCCTGCTCCCTCAGGTGTGTCCCAGGTAGACCCACCCCCCTTGGATGAGCCAGTTGAGATCTCTTCTGACTCCTCTGACTCAGCTGAGGGGGGTGACGCCGTCGCCGACGACACGGCGACCACTCGCCGCACTCCTCGCTTGGAGACCCCCCCGGGTTTCCCGCCACGGCCGTCTTCGCCGCCTCCACAGCCTGCTGCTGTGGACTCTGGAGCTGAGACTACTGGAGCTGGGCCCGGGGGTGGTGAGTCTGGGGATGCCCGCTCTCCTTGTTCGGCTACCCCCCCCGGGTCCCCACCTCTGCCGTCTTCGCCGCCTCTGCAACCTGCTGCTGTGGACATTGGAGCAGAGACTGAGGGTGCTGGGACCGAGGGTACAAGGACTGAGGGCACTGATCCTGAGGGTGCTGGGACTGAGGGTATAGGGACTGAGGGCACTGAGCCTGAGGGTGCTGGGACTGAGCGTGCTGAGACCGAGGGTCCTGACTCTGGGGGTGCTGTGACTTCGGGTGCTGACTCTGGGGGTGCTGCGAGCCCTTCTGGTGTTGGTGTAGTTGGAGGTCCTACGGGAGGACCTGGAGCTACTGGTGCTGGAGGTACTGGAGGTGCTGCTGGTACTGGAGGTCATGGAGCTGCTGGTACTGGAGGTCGTGGAGGTGCTGGTGCTGGAGGTACTGGAGGTGCTAGAGGTGCTGGAGCTGGAGGTGCTGGAGGCGCTGAAGCTGCTGAGGCTGGAGGTGCTAGAGGTGCTGGAGGTGCTGGAGGTGCTGGAGGTCCTGGTGGAGCTACTGGTGCTCTTCGCCACCTTCTCAGTCTTCAGCCAGGTGCTATTGGCTTCCCTGTGGCAGGTACTACTCCTCCGTTGCTGTGTCCACCGGCGGACCAGTCACAACCGCCGCTACTACTGCACTCCCCACTGCCTGCTCCTGCTCCTTACACTGCGGTGACACAGTCCCTGACTGAGCGTCGAGAGCCTGAGGCTCGTGCTTCCACCCCTGAGCATCGAGAGCCTGAGTCTAGCTTTGACCTTGAGCCTGAGCCTAGAGCCGCTGTCCGTGCTCGTGTTCCTCGTGTCCGTCCTTCCTCTGTTCCTCAGCGTGTCCTACTGTTACCTCCTGCGTCCTCTCTGCCTGCCGTTGCTAACCCTCCGTCTGACCTTGCTCGTGCGTCCAGTCCGACTGTTACTCGCTTTCTTGCTACGGTTATGACGGACCCTACGTTCTCGTCTCCTACTACGTCTGCCTTAGTAGTTGAGCTTGTTGACTTTGCTGCTGTCTACCGCCTAGACTACCTTGCGAGTCTTGTCTCTGACCCTGTCCCTGCCTGTCCTCCGTCCGTCGGGGGTGAGGCTGCCCTTGGTGTACTGCCCTTGGCTGTGACGTTCTTGAGGACAGATAGGAGGAGCTGGAGCGCCTTGCGGCCGCTGCACCCCATCTCGCGACCAAGCTGCTTGCCCCTGAGGGAGACCCAGATGCACTTGACATCCCCACCCCGCGCTCTTACAGAGAGGCGATCTCGGGTGAGTACTCCTCTCAGTGGCAGACAGCCATGGATGCAGAGATGGCTTCCTGGAAGTCCACAGGCACCTACGTCGACAAGGTTCCCCCACCCGGGGCGAACATCGTCAGTGGCATGTGGATTTTCAGGGTGAAGCGGCCGCCAGGTTCTCTGCCTGCCTTCAAGGCACGTTACGTTGATCGAGGCTTCAGTCAGCGACAGGGAGTTGACTTCTTCCAGACCTTCTCCCCTACCCCGAAGATGACCACTCTTCGGGTTCTGCTGCACGTCGCCGCTCAGCGTGACTACGAGCTTCACTCTCTTGACTTCGGCACTGCTTTCCTAAAGGGCAACATGCACGATGAGGTCTGGCTGCGCCGCCCACCTGGCTTCACTGGGTTGTTTCCTGCAGGTACCCAGTGGAGCCTCCGACGGCCAGTCTATGGTCTCCGCTCGCGAGTGGCATGACACACTGAGGACGACTCTTGCAGCTCTTGGGTTTGCTCGTTCTACTGCTGACCCGTCGCTGTTTCTACGCACCGACACTACTCTGCCGCCGTTCTACATCCTCGTGTACGTCGACGACTTGGTTTTTGCTACTGCTGACACAGAGGAACTGGCCCTAGTGAAGGCGGAGCTGTAGGAGAGACACACCTGCACTGACCTGGGTGAGCTGCGGAGCTATCTTGGCTTGCAGATCACCCGGGACAGAGCACGGCGCACCATCACTCTGACTCAGTCACACATGGTGCACCAGGTCCTTCAGCGCTTCGGCTTCTCGTGGTCCTCGCCACAGCCCACTCCTCTGTCTACCGGCCACTCGCTCTCCCCTCCACCGTCGGACGAGTCCATAGAGTCCAGTGGTCCGTACCCAGAGCTTGTGGGTTGCCTCATGTACTTGATGACGTGCACACGACCTAACCTCGCGTACCCTCTCAGCCTCCTGGCTCGCTACGTGGCACCCGGTAGACACCGAAAGGTGCACTTGGATGCTGCAAAGAGGGTAATGCGTTACTTGTGCAGCACATCGGGCATGGGGCTCGTGCTTGGAGGACGGAGTTCAGTGGTACTCACAGGACACTCTGACGCTTCTTGGGCCGACGACCAGGCGACTCAGCTCTCGTCACAGGGTTACACCTTCAGTCTTGGCGCTGGTTTTGTCTCGTGGAGGTCCACTCGTTCTTCTTTTGTGCTTGGTTCCAGCTGTGAGGCCGCGATCTACGCTGGGGCCATGGGTGCACAGGAGCTATGGTGGCTGACCTACCTGCTGACCGACTTGGGGGAGCGGCCTCGTTCTCCTCCAGTTCTGTACACCGACAACAAGGCAATGCTTACCTTGTGTCGCGAGCAGAGATTGGAGCACAGAACGAAACACATTGCTCTTTGCTACTTCCTTGTGCGTGAGCTGTAGCAGCGTGGTCAGCTGCGCCTTGCTTACGTGGCCTCTCGGGCCAACACTGTTGATGTCTTCACCAAGGCCCTTGGGTCTGGTGATCATCAGCGTTTCTGCACTGCTCTTGGGCTTGTGCCCACTCAGCCTCACCAGCTGGTTGCTTGACTTGCTCTTGTTGTACACTGCTATATATCTTTATACTTGCATGTTTACTCTTGGTGGGTTGTGATCAGTGTACCGCCTTGCTATTATAAATCTGCATGTGAATTGGGCTTGTGGTCGCCTGCTTGTGCTCAGATTGTTTGGTGTTCTTGAGATCCACCCTGTCCTTTGCCTTGCTTGTTCTCTTTCTTGACTGGTCTTGTGACCACTGTTAGGTTTGGCTATCCCCTACTTCACCTATGGGGGTGTGTCAAAACATATTTTTGTTTACTTCACTCTAGGTTGTGTAGGGGTCATTCCTTAGAGGGTACAACCCATTTCTCTCGATAGTCTTGTACCCCTCTCCCTTACCTAATCGACATTTGATTTCGTAGTTCAGTTCTTAAAACCCGCAGGCCAAACTATTCGAGCTTAGGAAGGTTGGTTGGGACTGAAAACGTGATTGGCCCGCGAACGTTGGTAGTATCGAGATTGCCCGAGGATGTTCGTGTACAAACGCAGGTTCGCCAATGTTACCATGTTTGACCTGCGACAAGTACTTTACGCGCACATGAGTCGCACATAGCCATCAGCGACACCCCAAAGCAACCTGTCTCACAACCCCAATTTCCAACACCAAGTCGCTGTAGTGTGGTACAGGGAACTAATCCGACTACTATTAGCTAAGAAATCGAGCTCCGCGCAAAGGCAGAGCCCCATCGTCAAAGCAGACGCGAGTGGATAGTAATAGCGTACAGAAAACTGAGCGACGGCAACATATCCTATCGCCGCCCAAATAGAAGTGACGGATAGGCCGCTTCGAAAACGCCCGCAGGTGCGTCAGCTTGCAGGCTGCGAATCCTGCCTCTTATCCCGCCAGTAGCGTTTCCTCGTGCCCCGATTACGGTACCCCTCAAATGCGGATTTCCCGCATACCAAAACGGGGTGGGCATCCACGCATTCCCGGCCAGTACCGTGACTTCCCCCTCCCGTCGCCAACATTTCCCCCTCCCGTCGCCTTCATTTCCCCCTCCCGTCGCCTTCATTTCCCCCTCCCGTCGCCTTTATTTCCCCCTCCCGTCAACTTCATTTCCCCCTCCCGTCGCCTTCATTTCCCCCTCCCGTCGCCTTCATTTCCCCCTCCCGTCGCCTTCATTTCCCCCTCCCGTCGCCTTCATTTCCCCCTCCCGTCGCCAACGTTCCCCCCTCCCTACGCCCTGCTCATTCTCCCGTCGCCCTCTCTTCCCCGGCTCGCCCTGTTTCCCCTGCACCGTCGCTTCTCTTCGGTTCACTCTGTCTGTCTCCCTGCTCGTTCCCTTCCCCCTCTCCCCCCCAATTCCCTACCCACTCTCCCGTAAAGTTGTTGGTTCACTTGCGCTACCGCATCCTGCCCCGTCGCTACCCCTCCCTGCACCCGACGGCATCCGGCCATTTCCCCACGCTAATGCTCCCTTTCCCTCACTACCACCCGCCCAATCCCCCACAACCCCGCGTCCCGTGCCCCACTCCCCGGCTCACTCTGTCTCCCCTGCTCATTCTCTTCCCCCTGGCTCACTTTGTTTCCCCGCACGCTTCCAACCCCTTGCCGTCAACCCGGCCATTACCCTCTCTCCCTATCCCATTTCCTCCCACGCCAACTCTCCCTTTCCCTCACGCCAACTCTTCCTTTCCCTCACGCCAACTCTCCCTTTCCCTCACGCCAACTCTCCCTTTCCCTCACGCCAACTCTCCCTTACCCCCATGCCAACTATCCATTTCCCTCACGCCAACTCTCCATTTCCCTCACGCCACCTCTCCATTTCCCTCAAGCCAACTCTCCATTTCCCTCACGCCAACTCTCCATTTCCCTCACGCCAACTCTCCATTTCCCACACGCCACCTCTCCCTTTCCCCGGAGTCGTTGCCCGACACTACCCCCTCCTGTCGCCTCCACTCCCATGCGCGCTCTCTCCCCCCCTGCTCACTCCTTTATCCCCTGCTCACTCTCTTTCCCCCTGCTCACTCCTTTATCCCCTGCTCACTCTCTTTCCCCCTGCTCACTCTCTTTCCCCCTGCTCACTCTCTTTCCCCCTGCTCACTCTCTTTCCCCCTGCTCACTCTCTTTCCCCCCTTCTCACCCATTTCCCCCCTTCTCGGTCTATTTCCCCCTTTCCACGGCCCAATATTGCCCTGCACACTCCCTTGCTCCTTGCTCTCTCTCTCCCCCTCCGCTCACACCCTTTCCCCCTTAACTCATCCCATCTCACCCCCCTGTTCACCCTCCATTCCTCTTCGTTCACCCCTTTTCCATTACCAAATCCACAATTTTCCATTTTGCTCACTCCCTTCTCCCCCGTGCTCTCTCTCTTTCCCCTTTTGCTAACCCCCGACGCTTGTCCACTCCTCCCATGCATGCCCTTCTTTGCCTCCACCTCCACCCATTGCTTATTCTGCCATACGTTTTTCCCTATTCGCTCCCGGCGCTTGCCACCACTCTGTACCCTTCCCTTGCCTTTGAACCCCCCATCTGCTCTCCCTCGACTACCCCGCCTCCTTTCCCTTCTCGCTTCAGTTCCCTGTACTCCCTTAGGTGTCCCTTCTCCCCCACGCCAGTCCTCCCCTCCAGCTGCTCCCACCCCTCCACTCCAACAGTATCACCCTCACACACCTTGATCTCTCCGGCTTGGTCTGTCTCCCCTGCTCATTCTCTTCCCCCCGGCTCACTCTGTTTCCCCGCACGCTTCCAACCCCTTGCCGTCAACCCTGCGATTACTCTCTCTCCCTATCCCATTTCCTCCCCCGACACCCACCCGCCCCAGCACCCTCTCCCCCGCGTCCAGTCCCCCGCTGCCTCCTTCCTTTCCCCCACTCCCGCACGCCCATTCCCCCACTCCCCTCGTTCTTTCCCCGAGCGCCCCCCCGTCTTTTCGTTCACTCCCACCCGTCCATTCCCCCATTCCTCCCCGTCCGATACCCCACTCTCCCTTGCCATGTTCCCACACAATATTCCTCCCGTTCCCCAACGCCAACCCTCAGCTCGAGCACCACTTACCTCCCTTTCCCGCACTACCACTCGGGATTCACCCAAATAACACCCTCCCTTTCACCCACTCCTACCCTCTCTTTCCCCCCCGGTGATCTCGTCCCTCCCCGCAATTCGGTGGGCCTTTCCCCCACTACCCTCTGTCTAATCCCCAACTTCCACTCTGAGGCTTTCCTCTCTCCTCCAGGGCCACGCCGCCTTGGCGACCGTGCACGCCCTCCTGCTACCCATGTCGTCATCTCGTCCCCCTGCTACACGTGTCCTGCTCGCATCCCCCTGCTGCCCCTCACCACCCTCCCTACCACACCCCCACTCAACGACCCACCCTCCTTTTGCGACCCACCAGAATGGATATAAGACTGTCAGGGGGCCGGCATCTGGTGGTGACTCCCGAGCTCCCCTTCCCTCCCCCGCCCCCGCACTGCCCTCTCCTCCCTCTGTTTGCTCCCAACCAGGAGCGCGAGGATGCTGACAGGGGCCTCACAATTCGTTGTGCATCCACTGCATCCGTCGACCCCCTGCTGTGTATCTTGCAGGTGCATCACACATCGCGGGGACGGGGCTTAGCCCCTGCTCAGACTAATATTTACACTTCCTCGCCACGAGGTGCGGCGCAGTACGGCAACGAGGACGGGAATGAGCAGCGACATTGATGAGGTGAACGGGGGTGATATGGTGGGGTGCCGACTAGGGGAAATGAGCAGTGAGAGGGCGCGGCAGAATGGAAAGGGAGTGGGCGCCAATCTGTGTGGTAACAGTGGGCGCGGTGGAATGAGCAGTGAGTGGGCTCGGTAGAATGGAGGGAAATGAGGGGGGGGGGGGCGGGGGAGTGTGGTAACAGTGGGCGCGGTGGAGTGAGCAGTGAGTGGGCAGGGGTGGACATTCGGTGAGTGTGCGCGGGGAAGATGACCGGAGAGTGGGATGTGTCTGGGACGCAACTTCCATAGCCGTTGAGAGGTCTCTTCCCCGCTCGGTCCGTGCGTATGAACACACCTGTGCCCAAACCCGCTATGCACCCCGCACCCAACACAGGACTTACCAGACCTGGTACCACTTGACCATGTCGGCGAGTCACCCTCGCCGCCAAGATTACAACCATTTATTAACGTGGGGGATGTATGGCATAGGGGTAGGGTACTTACTCGAATGTTTGTAGAGTCGCTTTTAACGTTGCGAATGCGACGTGGGGGAGTAGAGGTGGCGGGCGATGAGATAGGGACAGGTCCAGGGGATTGGGTGGTGACGGAGGGCAGATGGACGGTCGCCAGGGGGGGGCCACGCGCAGGGCGGTCTAGCCGAGCGAGCGGCGGCTGAGGGTGGCGATGGTGGGGGAGGTATGTGGCCAATTGCACACCTTGCAACCTCTGTGTTCCACTCTGGCCTTGCACGCCATATTACTTGCACCTTCTGGTCATTGCACTCCCACACACCACTGCCCCTCTATCCGTTTGATATCTCACACACCCTAGCTCCCGCTGTCAGCCGCCCACGCTGTTCTCACAACGTGCGACGTCGAGGCTAAACTCCAATATCTTACACTCACTATGTCCTCCGTTCACTCTCCACCCGTGCCCCCACTCTGGCCTGCCCGAATTATGTCCTTTGTCCAACCCGCCTTGCCTTCAGCAACACCGTAGCCTTGTGCCACGACATGCATAGCGTCCCCACCACTCTCATTCCGACAACGTGTGGTGACACTGAGAGAAGAAGAGGGGGAGGCAGTAGGAAGGGTGAGCGAGGTTGTGGAGGAGAATGATTAGCTTTGTGATACTACCACACTAGCTCTCTGATAACGACTGTGGGATTGGCAGTGTGCGTTTGTTTGCGGTGGATGTGTAACCGGCTATCAGAGAACATCCATTGCTCCATCATTTCATAAGACGTTGATTGGTATGAAATCCGTGGGAGTTCCATGTTGCAAGCAGGTGACAATAGTACAGTTATACGCTACACCTGAAGCCACACACAGTTGAAATCAATCATGCGACATGGATGGTTGCAGACGTAGCAAGGGAAATCTACTCCAGTCAGGGTCCCTATAGTCAGTGGGAGTGGCGCTCGTGCAAAACACCACATTGCAATCCCTAACACTATTAGACAAGCCCTGCTCGGTGCTGAATTTGGCCAGTTCAACAGTCGATTCTATGAGACACATGTAGCGTTCACAAATGGCCACCGCCCTCTGAACCCTCCATTGCAATGCCACTGTTCATAGCGTGAGAACTCATTGCGTTTCAAACTTCCCCCACTCTGCTCCCCTCCTTGTCCAGTTCTCCTTCCGTCCGCCTCCCCGCCGTCTCTTCCCCGTTCTTCCTGTTTACCCAACAGTGCTCGCACATCCTCCCTTGCACCGGACATAGGACCATTGGGTGTGTCCACCACTCCCAGCGTTGCCACCACTTCTCCCTTGCGAGAGAATGAGGCTGCTTCCAAGCCCAAAAGAGTCGCTACCAAACTCTGAAGCCTCCTCTTCATTTTCAGCCTCTCAATTGTCCAAGATCCTCCTCCCCTTATTCGCCTTTGGTCCTTCTCAACCCACTCTTTCCCCTCATTCAGGCACCCCATTGACTCTCTCCTCCCCCCTCCCCTGCTGCCATCCCTTTCTCTAACCTCGTCTTCCTTCGCGCCCTCGGTCTCTCCCTCACCTTCTCCTTCACACCGCACTCTTCACTTCACAGCTTACTCCCACTTTGGTACAAATCCCCCTCCATCTCGAAACACCCTCTATCTGTCGGCTCCCCGGCTGCCCCAGCTTCAACTCCATACAACGATGCATCACCGCCCACTCCTCTCCTTTTCTCCGCTCCTTGGTCTCCCTCCGTCCCGCTGTGAATTGGGAGGGGGCAGGGCGATGTGGGAAGGGGGGGGGGAGGGGGTGGGAGTTGGGGGGATATAGTTAGTAACCTTGAGCACGCGGGGGCGCAGTGGGTGAAAACAATGCAGAGCGTGGCGCTGAACGAGAGATATTAAGGAGAGGCAATGTGTTGGTTTGTCGAGTAGATTGGACTTACCTTGCCCTTCTTGCGCTGCTTCTCAGGTTCCGGCGGTTGCTCCTTGCTGATCTCGTAATCTATGTACCTACAAAAACACAAGGGGGTTATCATAGAGGGTGCACGAAGCATTGTGGAGTAAGACCTCCAGTGGAAGCGTATTATAAGTCCAAAATCAGTAGAGCTGATCTCAATAGCTCAAGTATTTCTCACCATCGAGGCGTCTTGCGTGCACGTTTCTTTGGGGGAGACAAGGTAGCATGAACTTGATTACCGCGGCATGGGCCCATCTGGATATTACGAAAAACATAGCACAAATGAGTTGAGGGGCATGTCTGTCATGTGCAGCGTACCAATTAGATTCAAAAGGATGATGATAGGCGAGGAAACGCGACACTTACACGTGAGACGACACCGTGCACGGGACGGGCGGGGGCCACGCACGGTCCTGTGGCGCCTCTTGGACCACGAGCTGGATGTGCTGGTCGATTCCCCCCCTGGACGAAACACTGTGGCTGGAGGTGGGGTGGAAAAAAGATCCTCACGGTCTCGTGGGGGAACGGACTCGGGTGCATCGGAATCGGGTGTAACAACAGGCGGATGAGGCTTGGGGCTCCCCCGGGAAGCCGTCCAATCGCGCATGATGTCGTCGACCCAGGTCCAGTCCATGGGGCCCAGAACACGATCTTTCTTGCCACGCCTGACCCGTGTCGCCTTTCGAAGCCGTGTTTTGTATGCCTTGACCACCCGCTCCACAGTGTTGTTCCAGTGGAGCACAGCTAACGCAATGCGAGCCTCCATGCTCCCCAAGAACCTCACGCGCTTTGGAGCATACTTGCAGATGAGGGAGTGGAATGATTCGTTCAGCCAACTCCCCGCCCCAAGCACGTAGGGTCGCATCTGTTCTGCGCTGCAGTGCGTGGCCAGCCACTCTTTCACCGCCTTGTGGGTCTCTGAGTCAGGCTCGTACACGGCACTCTCAGGGCCCCATTTGTCCTTCACGCAACGAGGGAGGACGTCTCCCCTGGCACAACCGGCATGTAGACCCGCCCAATGGTCAGCAGCGAGGGCGAGCTCAGCTGCCACATCCTCAGCACTCATGGGGAAACCCAGTGTTGCGAGTGTCGCATTACGCACCATGACATGGTGGAAGTGAACACTGAAGCGCTGCCCAATAGTCACCTCCTCGACGAGATCATCCATGGCCAAATCGTCGTTTTCCACCCCCTCCATCTCCTCCCGCCGCCTCTTCTTAGTTCCCCTCTCCTCCCAGCGACGTTGAGGCGACGCGGGTTCAAATGCATCCTCGTCGCCCGCTGCCGTATCCTGGGTGTCTGCACAATGACATGAACATGCACAAGTCAAAGAACGAGGAGACAGGTGAGCGAGAATTGATCACAAGTGTACAAACACACGAGGCCCTTACTTTGCGTATGGCAAGAATGTGGCACAACCCCACTCAACCCACCAAACTTGCATGTTGCACTACATCTCAGTCACCACCCCGCCTAGACTATGACATCATCACCATCATACCTGAAGTGGTGGCCTCAGCCGCCTCTGTCACGTGCTCCACATCGGCCTCCTCGTCGGGTGTGTGAACCCTGCCTGACACCGAAGCCTGGATGATGAGGAACGACGCCTCCGAGCATGGACGGACACCATGAATAGGGTGCGGATCATAGCCCCACATTTCGCTGACATCCTCCCACCTCAAATCCTCCATGTCTCCCCTCTCCACCCTCACGCCACCCCCCTCTTCAACTGTAGCCCGGGCGCCTACATTGGCCACCCTGTTTGCGAGACTGCCGTCACACACCACCTCCACCGCTACATTCCCTGTTGTGGGCGTCGATAATCGCTGACCACCGACATCCACGCGCCCACCCTCCCCACTATGTTGAACGTGAATGTCGACCAAAGCTGATCCGGACCTGGAATTGCCCTCGCACCGTTGTCGTTTTGAAGCGCGTCCTTCCCCAATCTCCTCCCTCCCACCTCTGTTCTCCTTCCCATCTCCCTCCGCTCTAGCTACCCCCTTCCGACGCAACCGCAACACCTTTCGCATGGCGGGAAACTTCCAAGCCGCAGCAGTGGCTCTCATCTTTTTGTATTTGAATTTGCCCAGCAATTCGCACACGGCCTTCACAAGTGACTCTTTAGTGGAGCCCTGGGTAAGCCGCCCTTTATACCCACTGACTTGAAGCCAGCCCCACAGATGTTCGGGAGTCACGTGCCAGACATCCTCCACGCTCTTGCATTCGGGTACGCGCAATGATGACTTCTTGGCATCAATGAAGTCCTGCACAAAGCGCCTAGTCAAATTCCGACCTTTATGCCATACGTCCATTTGATGATTTAGCCCGT